TCAAAGTGTGCTCTGTACGCAGGTACAACTTTGAGAATTCCACACGATATCCTTTCAAGAACATTTCCTTCTGTTTCGAAATTGGGCATCAAAGTAGAGGAAGCCTTCGCCGTCAAAAATGTTCAGTAGAGAAACCTAAAAGTTGGTTCAAAAATGGTTCTTCGATTTCAAAAACATGCTTGGAGGCATCATCAGATATTTTGGCCCTGCCCTGCCCTGAAAATCAGAAAACTACTTCTAAATCAGTTTTAAAACTATTTTCACGAACCGCCTATAATAGATGCCCTTCTACAAGCCTCATAAATAAAGAAATGCTTTTTACCTAAAAGGTTTTGAGCGTCTGAAGTCTTACAATTGATTCGAAACATGGGGACGGTGTTCGTACAGAGCTATTTTTAGCAAAGAACGAATCCCAGTAAATGCAATCAAGAGTATGTGATAGTACCAAGCGTGCTCTACAACTTCAGCTTCGAATGGTTCAGAAAGACTTCGAGTTTATTCAGCTGCAGAAACATGAATTATAGATATATCATTTTTGCTTTTTCCAGAATTGTTAGTCTAATACTTTCAATCCTCACATCCTTGAAAAAGGTCTTTTCAAATTCTGTAAATGTATCTTGTAGAGTTTGATGGGCATTCCACAACACATATGAGCCTATATTTCTCACTGGTTTTTCGAAGGGCAGCGCTGTAGAATTGGCGCAAGTGATTTTGGCGCACCCTGTAAATAAACTCCGGAAGAGTAGTGGATTCACATCACAATAACCTTATTTTTTTAAGGTGGAGCAGAAGAAGCGCTGGATGCCCATCCAGGATATCATGTTCTGACCCTAAAGTCTAGAAAAGGATTTGTCAGAGAAGCGCTCAAAACCGGTGCTTATCTTGTGCCGGTCTACTCTTTTGGCGAGAACGAAGTTTTCGACCAGGTTCGTTAAAATGCTTTCGAAATGGTCATTAAATTTTCAAGTCTTAGGTTACAAATCCAAGAGGTTCCATGATTCGCCGTTTCCAGTCATGGGTAAAGCGAATTGGTGGCTTCTCCTTACCATTATTTCATGGCCGAGGAATTTTTCAGGTAAAAATCAATGTATATCATTGATAAAAAATCCATAGCACTTTCCCCTTTCTTGTTTGTCTTCCTCAAGCTGTCAGAATTGCCGCGAAGGCCAAATTATTGTATAATCATTGTATAGGCTATCTCAGGTGCAGTGTCAGGTGCACCAGCGGTTTGGGTCTCGCGTGGCCACCTCGCTGGGCTTGCGTCGCGTTCGCGAACGTGCGCTTTGAGCATTTTCTAAGTTTGATTAACCACTCAAACTCGACTGCTGAGCCCAATCCCGCGCTAAAACGTGAAAAGTGATCAGACGACAAAAT